GTCGGGAACGTCAGGCGCCTACCTATACCTACCTACCTGCCTACCTGCCTACCTGCCTACCTACCTACCTACCTACCTGCCTACCTGCCTACCTACCCACCTACCTACCTACCTACCTACCTACCAACCTACCTACCTGCCTAGCTAGTGCTACTAGTACTACTACGGGTACTCGTTAATGCTCCTGCTATTGCTACTGAAACTGCCACTCCTACGAATACTACTACGACTACGATTACGAGTGCGACTACGACCAGCCGTATACCACAACAACAACAACAACTACTGCTGCTGCTGCTGCTGCTGTCTTCCGTACCCAGGCTGTGTAGCACAACATTTCAGCTGAATCACGCAGCAGGCTCCAGGCAGATGCCACAATGCGGTGTCGCTAGCGCGTGTAGCGCGAAAGATCCGTGAAAGTTCCGAGAAAGTGCTGCCATATCAAGGCAACGTGCCATTGCTAATCTATACGGTTACTAGAGTGCCACATACCACAACGAGCACTAGCATTTGCATTAGCACTAGCGCAATCACTACAGCCGGGAGCATGGACCTTGTAGTCACGCTTCGTGGGTGCCTGAACCCTTCACCGGCCTCAACCTTAGCTCCGCACCCTACACTCCGAGCTTTGAACCCTAAACCCTAATGTCTAAAACGTCCAAAGACTGCCTAAACTAGAACCCTGACAGAGTCCTATAGAGCCTGCAAGTGCCTGCAAAAAGCCCTCATAGAACTCTTAAATATTCATCAATATGCATGAATATGTGTCCGCGAAGGGCGCACGAAAGTTAGGGCAAAACTTCAGCGCTAAAGTCGCTAAAGCATATCATATTTTCGTGAAGAAGGTCAGTCGGCGATACATGTAGATCAACGCCCAGTATGCCCAGTTGAAGACCTCCAGAGATGCCAGAAAACATTGCATCTAGTGGTTTTACACGCGTTGGTGCCCGCATCGGGCCATGGTGCCGATGTGGCAGACGTAGGAGCAGAGCAACAAAGCATCGCAGTTTCGCAGAGCCTCGTTGCATCTTGTTGCACAAGTTTCTTCATCGGAGCCGTGGATCGCTTATTTACAAGCGAGGCTCTGACAGGCCCCAAAAAACCTACAAGAGCTTCATCTTTCATGTAATTCCGTTTTACTGAGACTCGTTCGACTTGTTCAGCAGGCTCGGGGTCCAGAAGCCTGAGTTTCAGCGCAATGAGTGAATGCATTCTTAGTGTTTCGCGCATGCTGGACGAGCACAGGTGGCAAGGGTCGTAAGACGCGCTCTTGTCTTCAGCACTTCCGGAATCAGTCTCGGAATTTGAGGGCCCGGCATGTTATGGACGTCACGAGCCGGGCGATCTGTAAATGGTGAAGCCAGAAAGCCAGTCTCTGCCCCCTGGGTCTGGCGCTCGGGGCTTGAGCGCCATGCAGGAAGGTGGCGATTGGGAAGGAGTCCGACGGCCCTTGGACGGCCCACTACTACCGCAAAGCAGGGAGATCGGCGCCGATCTATGCCCTGCCCTTGAACTCTGTGTCTCCGGTCTGGACTTAGAGGGTCGAGGGATGTCGGGGGCCAGGCAGACACAAAGCTCGGATTCGTGCAATGTTAGGATCCTTTCCCCGGAGCCTGGAGCTTGGCTCGATGAATCGAAATCTGCGGTGGCGGTGAAGGGTGTCGCCTACGCCGGTGGTGGGTCAAAGCCTCAGCAGCTGATAAGCCCTGATAGCCGGAGGGTGAGAGAATGTGCGCAAGTCGCTCCGCGAGGCAGTATCCCATCCAGACCGTGGAGCTCTCGGCAGACAGAGGTCAGAGCTGGCAAACCGCCACCTGCCACTTCGCGACTTGCCAAAACCTCTTGCAGAGAGCATCGGATTGCAGATTCCTCGCGGCAAGGAAGAAGTACCAGATGACGACTGCCAAGGTCCGTCTCGAAGCCCGGAGCTGAGAATGCCAGAAAACTGCCAGGAAAAAGCCGGATTCCGAAGCTTAGCCGTCAAGGCTGGGTGCGCTTTGAGTCGGTGGTCCAGCTGCCACCAAGTGGCTCTGGTGCGAGAGCGCCTTGACTCGTTGATCTTTCGTGCCAACATGTGCCAACGTCCTCTACCGCTGGAGACTTGCCATAGCCAGCTCTCTTCCTGAATGGAATTCCCCAAACGGCCCCAAGACTGGATCCTGCGCAACAGCGCGCACAACACACCCAAAACGGCACACTCGGCGTGACAACAAAACAGACACACCCCCGCCGCGACCCTTTTGCCCTCCACTGTACTCCACGAGAGTCCGACATATCTAGGATGGGCATTTGTTTTAGTTATTCTTTTCGTTCTGTGGTGGAATTTCGGAATCTGGACTGCAGGGCTCTGGCAAGACTTCCGGAGCTCCTCTCACGGAACTTTGGTGCAGAGCTATTGACAAGGGTGGCAATGTCCAGCCACGCAGCTGCAACCTGGTTGGATCTCCACATAAGCTTGGCTCACGCTGCCGACCTCATGCATTTCTGAATCACATGAGCAGAAAGCCGAGAGCATGTTGCGACCTATACTAGACAGTCTGCATTGCAGGTACATCTGAGGCAGGCGCCTCTTTCTCCCTCTCGCTCTCTCGCTCTCTCGC